CACACACACACACACACACACACACTCTCTCTCTCTCTCTCTCCCCCCCCCCCCCCTCCCTCCCTCCCTCCCTGTCTCTGGCCATGTGATACCCTGTGTCACCTTGGAATTCTGTCAGCAAGAAGTTCATCACCAGACATAGGCCCTGACCTTGTATCTCCAGAACTATAAGCAAAAATAAACTTCCTTTATTTATAACTTACCCAGTTGATGGTATTGTATTATTAGCAGCAGAAAATGGACTAATACAGTGATTTGTAAGTACCAGGATTTAGATAGAAGCTGCTCACAGCTTGCCAGTTCTGGGCCCCTGCTATTTCCAAAACATTACAAACTATTGCAGTGATAAGCCTTACTACACAGGTATTTGTCCACAGATCTACCCAGTTGTGGACACCATTAGAGTGAGTCACTCTAGGACCTTCCTTTAGCAAAGACATTTTAATCAGTTTTCTCATTGCTGCAACCAAAAGACCCAACAAGAAGTATTAGAGGAGGAAAATTTTATTTTGGGGCTCACAGTTTCAGAGATCTAAGTCTATAGATGGCTGATTCCATTCTTTGGCGCCTGAGGTGAGGCAGGACATCATGGCAGAAGTGTGTGGCAGAATAAAGAAGCTGGGGATGTGGCACCAGGAAGAGAGGGGAGAGGGAGGGACACACTCTAGCTCATCATGGACACATTGTAAACTTCAAGAACACACCTCCAGCTACCCACCTTCCTCTAGCCACATCCTACCTGTCTATACTTACCACTCAGTTAATCACTATTAGAGGATTAATCCACTGATTAGGTTAAGACTTTCATAACACAATCATTTCACCTCTAAACTTTCTTGCATTTTCTTACACAAGAGCTTTGGGGGGACATCTAATATCTAAGCCATAACAGAAGACCTCATCTCTGCATTGGGTGCCTCAGATTGTCCCATATGGATGGTCCTGTCTGATGGCTGTAGAGTATATGTGGTAGGGATTTCTAGCACGGAGTAAGGATTCTCCAAAGCATAGACCTTGGAGACCAACTGTTGGCATTTGAATTCTACCCTTGACCCAGTTTGTGACCTTGGGCAAATCTCTTACCACTTTTAGCCCTTAATTCCTCATCTATGCTATAGAAATATCAATAATATGTAACTCATGTAAGGTACTTGGAATAGTATCTGGCTCATAGTAGGTGCTATGTGAGAGTTAGCTATGATCATTACTACTCCAAGGAAAGTCAAGGTGGCCCAATGATGGAGCCTCAGGGTAATAGCATGGAATGATTCCCAGGGGAGCATCTCTAGGCTGCTGTGGTCATTTGATTCCTATGAAGAGCAAGGAGATCACAAGCAGAAACTAAGAGTGGTTTTCACTGAAATTCCATGAGACCATGGGGCCCTGTGCTGATGTCCTAACAGGAAAGGAGGGAAGACAGTCTCCCTCTTGGTAGTGTACACAGCCCAGCAGCAGCAGGAGTCAGCAGAAAGGTAACAGTGCCTAGCAAGGAACATGTGCTTGGGAGCTGACTGGGCTTGCTCAGCTACATGCCAGACACCCTTGAGACTGCCTGAAATAGCTGAGGGGGCCTTTCCAAGGGGTGGAAAGTCCCATATTAGCAGGAGGTGGGAGGGTCTTACGATCCAGGATATATTTTCATCAGATCCCAGTCCCTTGGGTGGAAAAAGACTAAGGGCTCTGATGACAGATAGAGTCCCACCCTTGCCACTTACTAAACTGAAAATACTTGGAGATTTATTCATCTTATTCATTTTTGGGTACATAGGTTCAGCATGCAGATGAATGAATTTAATATCCTAGAACCTCAGCTTCCACATCTGTAAGATGGAAGGCACCTAAGCTTCCTAATGAATATTTGGTTCATTTCTTTTTATAGCAAATTAAATTAAAATATTTAATTTCTTGTTTAAGATAGAAACTCAATACATTTGTTGACTCCACTTGATGAATGGTGCTTTAGTGAAGTCAATAGAGTCCATTCTACATTTCTTAGACTACATCCTTTAAGGAAGAGATCCTGTCTCTTAATAAATATTCTTTAATTTCAAGAGTTATTTTTGATTCACTGCTTTTTGTCAAAGAACAAAATATTAGCTAGGTATTGGTGAGTGGTATTGAATTTTAGGAGAGTTAGAGATCTCAGATAGGTCACTAAATAATTGAAACAGATAATCATCTGACACAGAAAAGCTATACTATAGGAAAAATGTTGAATTGAACCTAAGAATTTATAACGTGTTAACACCACACATTCCTATTAAGTCTTTTGTTTATATGCACATTTAAAGTGCTTTCTGACCAATTCTGTTCATGCAAAGTTGAAATAATGTGGTCTTTGTGACATGACCTGCATGGCTGAACCCTATAAACCAGTGAGGGGTGATGGTTGATTAAGAAAGACACACACACACATAGAAAAGCGGGATCAGGTGGGACACTGATCTCTGATAGAAAAACAGTGACCCAGAGCTGGCTCCACATGTTTATTATATATGGTCTCACAACTAGGAAGTTAAAGACTATAGAAGGATTGTTCTTTGTGCACTAGAAAGTTATAGGACTAGAAACATTTTTGTAGCTATTCCACCATTGCAATGCTAGGAGCTTCCTGTGGCACCCAGGAAGCCAATTGTCCAACGTTTCTATTAAGCAGGCAGGCTTGGAGGTCATAGCATTGGTAAAACATTGTGGTTATCTGGCTATGCTCAGAATCCTCTCTCCCTGGGAGCTGGTATCTGAGATCAAGGCCAATACTGATACAGCTTCTGTGCTTTACACAGAGCCTTCATGGGCAGGGTATCACCACATAAACTGGGCAATCTTGACCTGTACTTTTTGCATAGGAAGTTCCCAGCATTTGCAGGTGCACCACAACCACAAGAAAATCACTAACTCGGATCTAGATCACTGCACTCTATTTTAGTTCTTTTTGTGTCCATAGCTGGTCCTCAAGAAATAACTGAATGTATCAGTCAACTTTCTGTTACTGTGACAAAGTACTTGAGATAATAAACTTATAAGGAGACAAGATTTATTTTGACTCCAAGTTTCAGAAGTTTCAGTCCATGGTCAGTTTGCCTGTTGCTCTTGAGCCTGTTGGTGAGGCAACGTACCATGGCAGAAGCAAGTAGCAGAGGAAGTTGCTCACCTCACAGAAGCTAGGAAATAATGAGAGGAAAGAGGAGGGGCCAGAGTCCTAATATCTCCTTTAAGGGTATTCCCCCCAAAACTTAACTTCTTTTCATCATGCCCCATCTCCTAATGATTCCACCATCTCTCACTAGCAGGACAGTAAATGGTGACCAAATTTTAACACATGAGCCAGTGGTGGATCCTTATCCAAACTATAGCACTGGAAAATCAATTGAAAGTTCTCCTTTCATGCTTGGTCCTCCTTTTTTTTTTTTTTCTTCCTCTATTTTTGTTACTGGGGACTGAACCCAGGGGCATTTTACCACTGAACTATGTCCTTACTCCAATCTTAGTTTTTACTTTGAGACAAGGTCTCACTCAATCATCAAGTCTGGCCTTGAACTTGTGATCCTCATGCCTCAGCCTCCCAAGATGCTGGGATTACAAGTGTGGGCCACCCGTGCTCTGATTTGTCCTCATTCTTTATCTTCACTTTTCCCAGTCAGTCTTCCATGCGATGTCACTGGAAGCTAGGTAATTAAACTTACTAAACCTGGCTTTAACTTTACATCCATCATTTAATCAACAATTTCTAGTTTGCAGGTGGTCCATTACCATACAGCAAAATGATGGATTTGCTGTTGCTGTTTTCTTCAAAATCAGAATAATATTTGGTTAGCTTCTTGGAGTTACAATTTTATTTTGGATGGCTGAGGCTGCTCAATACTTACATGTCACGTGAGAATGAATATTCTGAATTTAATTTTTTAAAGGGGAATGAAGGAAGTATCACATGTATTGCTAATGCCAATATTCCTTAATATGACTTGATTATGTATTGCCATTCAACTCAGTGAATCAAAGCACTTATTTTTACATCTATTTTATAAGGCATGCAGAATATTTGATCATGAAATCACTGCTTGGAAAGTTTCTTCAATGCTGACATGCTTCAATTCTGTTTTAAGATCAGAGAGAACTTCCTGCCCTGCAGAAAATATAATTTATTGATGATGGATAAATTTTCTTTAAGAACAAGTTAGAGCTTCTTAATATGAGCAGCATTAAGTCTGTCAACTGAAAAGCTCAAATAACAAAATCTATCAAAATGTCAATCACTCCAACCAGACACAAGCTTTTAACAACTTTAATTGATATAATTGGTATGCAATATGTCTTACAACAAATGTAGATACAATGACATCAAATATCAAAGAAGTTGCACATCTTTCCATCTTTCAATTATGTGGGTTAACTTACCCCAAGAAAGAAATCTGGCAATGTACTCTTGGTTAGCACTAATACCCATACCAACTAGCACTTTCAAGATCAAAGTTGAAATGGTACATTCATTTTCCCTCCCCTCCAAGGGAAAAAATAAAAGGGCAAAGGCAAAGAAGGTGAATCAACGTGCAAATTAGCATCTGGCCCAGTTGCAAAATTCATTTCCCAGATGCGAGGGATTGAACCATGCACCTTTGCAAGCAAGATGAATAGCAAACAGATTATATCAAACCACAATTGACCCCCATAAAGAATCCAGAAGACCTTGGGATAGTGAAGGACAGAGGTCTACTGCTGCTAGAGCTCAGGTATACATTCTGTGTTACCCTAACCTCATGGATCCTGACTCAAGAATCTGTGAGACCTATGTCCTGGGTTGTCCCTTCTTTTAGAGATGGAAACCATCATTTTTGATCCCAGGCACAGTTAACCCTGCTGACTTTCAGCTGCACTGGGGCAGCAGAGCTATAATCACTGTCTGATGTGGCTATGACATAATTGCAGTTTTACAGAATATGTAAAACAACACATCAGTATAACAGCAAACAGGAAACTGAGATCACTTATATATCTATGTAATACTTAAAATGTCTATAAATATTTTTTTCTCCAGAAACTGAAAACACTGTAGACATGATTTCATTGATCCTCACAACACATCTGTGAGGTAGTATGGGGTGAGGTCAATATGAAAGCATCAACCCCATTTCAGAAACGAAGACGCAGACGTGCAGGGAGGGCAGGAGACTTCATCAGGGCTATAGGAAAAAAAAATACCAAGTTGAATCACACTCTTTGATCATTTGCAATCCATCAAAGAGAGGCTGCTTGTCTCCCTCCTGCTCTGACATTCTCTTTAAAGCATTAGGACCAGTCCTACCTACAGATGGGATGTGGTTGTATAAGATATACTGGGGCCATTTCCTTTGAGTGGACCTGAACAGACTCTCCCTGAGGTGAAGGACATTAGTTATTGGCATATATTTCAGATATGTTATGTGTGTGTTTTCAATAACATTTTTAGAATAAACTTGCTAAAATATTTTGGCCAATTCAAAAGCAGAAAGTATACATTTGGCAAAATAAGTTTCTACCTTTAGGCATTTCACACTGAGTGTTCTGGATTAAAAGGGAAGTTGTCATCTTGCTGAATTCATCTGCTTTAGGCCCTGTCTTTGCTAGAAGCATTTGGAAGTAATCAGTTAATTGTGCAGGTGCTCTTCTTGCATGACAGCAGTTTTCAGTGTGGAAAAATGCTTGTTGCTTCAGTGACTTATAATAGGCCAGGGTACCAGGGAAGAGGCTGGTGCCTCTGACCCAGTGCATATGACAAAAGCAAGGTCCAGAAGTATACTTCTCCAAAGTTGTTTCATGGACATTGTGTCAAAATGTTTTTGGTTGAGGGGGGAAAAATAATATGGAATATCTGTTTTTTATGGGCTTGTTCTTTGCCAAACTGAAAGCCCTGTCATGGGATTGGAAGTGGGAAGAGGGACAATTATTCAGGCCAAATACAGTCAGAGGGGAGGCTATTGCTCTGGTCATTCTTTGCCATTTTTCTGAGAAGGTCCATGTCTTTTTGTTTTTTTATGTTTCATGTTCAGAGAACTTGAATTCCTGGAAGCTTAATACTCATCTGGTCATAGAAGACCTTTAGGGTTGCCCCTTTGGCACCTAAAGAGTTCAGGAACAGATTTTTTTTTTTTTTTTCAGAGAGTAGGTTGTGGGAAGTGGCACTGCTCTTGGTCTCTGACACCTGAGGGGGTCAGAAAAGCACAGCAATAGTGGTTTTCCTAAAAAGAGCCATGGTGTCAAGGTCCATATTGAGAAATCTGAATCGATGCAGTTTTGAGTTTTCTATGATGTTATGGGATGACACATTTTGAAATGTATGTTTTCTGCTACATGAAATCAGGACAGAAGATGCCAATTGCTAATATCAGATGTTAGAGGAGGACATAGGTGGAGCCCTGAAATAAAACTCTCCAGAAACACAAAAAAATAAAAAGGTAACCATCATGCCAAGAAATTATCAGCCAACAGACACAACATTTTGAAGATAAAAATGATACATTGCTTCATTTTGTTGAAAATAAAAGAGCATTACTAATCTGTGAGTGTCTCCTTCTGCCACGGGGTGATTTTAATACATCAGGGCTTTCCAATCACAACACTACTGATGTTTTGGGTCAGTTCATTCTTTGTTGTAAAGGGTTGTCCTGTGCACGGTAGGAGGTTTAGCTGTGTCCCTGGCTTCTACCCACTGGTGGTACTCCCAAATCATGGCAATAAAAAATGTCACCAGACATTTTCAAATGTCCCTAGGGTGGGGAGGCAAAGTCACCTGCTGGTTGAGAATGACTGAAATAAATGGGTACCTTCAAAGATGACCAATAGTTCCCCCAAATATGTTGAGCAGGATTTTAGGACTAGATAATCAATAGGCGGGTGTTCATATTAAAGAGAAGAAGAACTAAGGTAAGTAAATGGGACAATAAATGAATTTGTCGTGTCTGTTTCCTATGGTAATGCTTCATAATGCAACTGTGGAGAGAACAGTGCCTCTTTAAAAAAAATTTTTTTTAAAGTTTGCAGTCATTATGTAAAAGACAGTAAGGCAGTGAACCAGTTGCTTTATGGGCATGAGGCAAGGACCATATGGGTTCCTCCAAGCCTTAGTGGATATTTTTGACAATTATGGAGACCTGATTCCCCCTTGTCCCAAGGAAGTCCTCAATGATGCTGGCTCCCCCCACCTGCACATGCCTCTCCTTTCTCTTCTTTAACTAAGCTCATCTCATAGCCTTCTCTTTTGGAACACATCTTGTCTGAGAGCTTGTGAGCTGGGATCCCAGGTGCATTTGAGCCACCTGGAAGAGAACAGGTAGAAGGCATGCTGACATCCAACAGCAGCCTGCTACTTTGCCTCTAGACCCCCTGACCTCCTCTGGGGAACTTCCCATTTTCATCGTTCATTAATGGAGCTAAGAATCAGCTAGCCAGCTTGTAGAGACAACCAGAAAAAAGAGAGATTAAAAAGAATCTGAGAAACCACTGCTTCCTCACATTAGGGTGAAATCCTCCTAGGACTTCTTTCTTTTTTCCACATTGATACATAATGTAGAGAAAGTAAAGAAATAACCCAAAAAGTTCCCCTAAACATAACCCCAACAAAACAGCTCACTCCCTCTTCCTTCATCCTTCTTGAAGTAGGTCCTCAGTGGTGCTGAAGCCTCCACCATGGTGGTCTACCCTGGCCAGTGCAAGTCTGGCCCATTTTTGGTGGCAAACTGGCCTCCATTCACCTTTAAATCATGGTTCTTTTGTACCAAAAAAAGGGGGAAGTTGTAGCAGCCAGAGGAGAGGGATAAAAACAAAACAACCATACCAACAAAACAGGGCTTAAGATTGTCGTTCAGTGTGCATCAGGTACTTGTTATGAATTCTACTGGATAAGCACTTATAAATAAAGAACAGTTAGTCCTCAGCCCAGGTCACAGTCCTTTGTTAGGAGTCGTCGTAGAGAGGGTTGTTGTAGTTTCCCCAGGACCCGTAGTCATGGTCATCCAAAAGCCTTCCATAGGAGGAATGCCTGTTGAGAAAGAAGACAGGGTTATGGTCACTTGGAGAAGTCACCCACCTAAGGACAGCCTAATATCATGCCACCTGAACCTGAGAGGCCTATAGGCCAGCTACAGGGAAAGACATGATGTTCCCACTAAGACAGCACCTTGGCAATGGACCAATCCACTACCTAAGACTGGGAAGGCCCCAATTTACCAACACCCTGTAAGTTACGACCGGTCCACCTGGGAGCCTAATTAGCACTTTCTATTGAGATCAACTGGGTCCTTGTCTTTCTCCTCTACCTCCAATACAGGAGAAGGAGGAGGAAGTGCCATTTCCATAGCTATTTCATAAGAAGCGATGGGAGAGGGAAGCTTGCATCTGGCCTTCTGATTTAGTCCTTGCAGTTAATTTTCCCTGAAATAATATTGACTACCATTGTTGTCATCACCCCTCCTGACATCTATATTGTGTTTTATAATTTCACAAAGTGCTTCCATGTTCAGGTTTTACTTGACCTTCAAAATAAAGCCAAAGGGAAAGGAATAGTTTATCCTTATTCCTCTAATGAGGCGTATGGGGTTCAGAGATGTTAACTGATGTGCTCACAGTCATTTGACTGAGCTGTGAGTCAAACCCCTGCCTCCTGGATCTAAGTCCAGTGCTTAGAGCTCAGGTCCCCAGGGTATGATGAGCACTTGAGTTCTATGGCAGTGAGGGTTAAACAGGCTTTGGTGGGTCATTCTGGAAAGCCATCACACAGTCATTATTTCTATAAGAAACCAAAGTCATATGCTGTCACTTTTCTATACAAAAGCCTTTGAATGGCTCCTCATTTCACACAGAATAAAGGCCAGAGTTATTACAGTGGTTGAAAAGCCCTTAAGGATCTGACCCTTGATGGGATCTTTAGCCAGGCACTGTGGTGTACAACTGTAATCCCAGCACCTTGGGAGGCTGAGACAGGAGGATCGAAAGTTCAAAGCCAGCCTCAGCAAAAGTTAAGCATTAAGCAACTAACTCAGTGAGATCCTGTCTCTAAATAAAATACAAAATAGGGCTGGGGGACAAATCAGTGGTGGAGTGCTCTGGGTTCTATCCCCGGCAAACAGCCCCCCACCCCACACACAAAAAGAGGTCTTCAATACTAGCTCAACTCCAACCACAACGGCCTCCTCTTCATTCCCATGCCCAGGAGAGCCTTGTGTCAGGGCGTCATGTACTGTTCCCTAGCTTGTTCTCTAACATACTGATTATTTGGTTTGCCATTACCCCTTTTTTTCTCAGACTATGAGCTCCACAGAGTTCTGTTTATTCTTTGCTCTGTCTCAAGCACCACAAAGAATATCTGGCATATAGTAAATCATCAGTAAATACTGGTAGAAGAAGCAGTGTTTGGAAAAAATACATCCTCAGTGCTCCAAAAAGCTAATTTGTCCACAAGATGGGAGCTTCCTGATGAGGGATATGGTCATTTTAAGACTAAAATTAATAACAGGATTGGAAGCACACCACAAAATGAGCATCTGGTGCCTCAGAGGTTCATGCTAGCAGGTGAATTATTGTATCTTGTCACTGGAAACCACATATCCTAGAGTGCAGAAAAGCATGCTAACTCCTCCTAATCTTTCTCTTAGCTAGATATGAAAATTAAACAACTAACATTTGCCAATAAATGGTTGGAGTTGGAGAATATTATGCTAAGCAAAATAAGCCAATCCCACAAAACCAAGGGCTGAATGTTTTCTCTAATATGCAGATGCTAATTCACAATAAGGTGAGGGGCACTAGGGAAGAATAGCATTACCTTAGATTAGATAGAGGGAAGTGATGGGAGGGAGGGATGTGGGGATAGGAAAGACAGCAGAATGAAACAGACATTATTACTGTATGTATATATGTGACTGCATGACCAATATGATTCTGCAACATGGACACTCAGAAAAATGAGAAATTACATCCCATCTATGTATGATATATAAAAGTGCATAAATGCATTCTACTGTCATGTAAAACTAATTAAAACAAATAAAAATATTAAAATACAATCTGAGACACACAAAAATATTTGCTCTACTTATATCTATTGCTAAAATAATTGCTTTTGCTTTTCTGAGATTCATTTTCATTGGCCAGGGATTTGCAGAGATGACTTCCTGCAAAGGATCAGGCCCTTGCTGTGCTCATTTCAAACTCTTTGCCTTCAAAATTCTGATTTATGCTCAATCTATATACCTGTAAACCTGGAGACTTTCCACAATAGACTCTGCCCAGCACAACTGAGTTGCTGATACTGACCAAGCCAACTCCAAGTACACTATTCATATGCTACTAGATATAAACAGTTAAATATCATAAAATTATAAAATAGCCTTTGCATCAAGAGCAAAATATTAAGTGTTCAGATAGAAGAAAAGGACTTAAGGACCTACACTCAAATTCTTTGGATGTGGGAAGGCAGAGGCACCACAAACAGCAACCCAGACACTTGATCTATAGGAATAGGGGAAGTAGTTTTGATAAATGAAGGTCAGTGGATTATCTATGGCTGGCACTCCCCCAGATTGAAACCTCCAGCTCCAAACAGTCCTTTAACAGGATAGTTGAGAAATGGAAGCTGTAGGATGCGCGAGTGAAATCCTGAGCATTATAATATTGGAGCCCAGCCCAAATTTTCCGCATGACAAACCTGGCAAACATTTATCTGATAAACATGCTCTTTTATTGATGAGGCACTACAGCTTCACCTTTATAAGGGAACTTAATTTATCATAGCATTTTTTATTTCTATCATATCAATTTACTCCCATAAAATGTCAGTTCAGTCATAGATATATGTCTTGAATGTGTTTTTAAATCCCTTTTCCTTCATCTATAAAATGGAGACTTAAAAAAAATCGCATTAGGGTTATTGGGAGAATTAAATGAGGTAATGCATATTAAAAGGCTTGGCACACAGTAAATACACAGAAAGTACTGGCCAATACTGCTTCTTAATTTTTATTATAAGGAAACTTGTACAAGAACATGCTAAATCTGAAAACAGTAAGAAGAGAACTCTGAATGAAAAGTGACTCTCCTTCCCACCAGGAATGCCTAAAACTATACCCCAGGCATAGTTATAAAATCAGCTTCTTATATTATTGTTATTTGAATTTTACAAATTATTATTATACCAAAGTGGGATCAGAGGATTAAATACCTTCTGGCTATCAGGTTTTGTTTTTTTATGGCTATTTTAGGCAAGATTATTTGGTCAATACTGTACCTGAGTCTGTTGTATTGTCATAATAGTAATCTACTATGCAAACACTAGTAAAATAAAAAGACTGATCTTTGCTTTTATTTTTCTTTTCCTTCCCACTTGAATGAACAGTGAGTTGAGAAAATGCTGACAAACGAGGAAAAAATTGCAAGAGATATAGATAAACCAAAATAGGGAGTTGCTGAAATTGTAGGGCTTGTTTTAATACATTCATGAGCTTAATCAAGAAGAATTGGGTGTGTTGGGATTCAAGCCAGGTTTGGATAAATCCAATACTACTGTAGAAACAGGAAGACTTTTGTGCATATGTGATGAAGGGAAAATAAATAGAAAGTGAACTTCTCTCTCTAGGTCAGAACTTCTTAAAACATGGCACATTTTGGATGAAAATGAGAAGGTTTTCAGATTGGCATTTGGAGAGTCTAAGAAGTTAGAACAACATAACAAACAAAAACCCCTCCTACTCCCAATTTTAAGAAAGTGGAACCCAAGAAATTTAGATTTTGTCAGTGTTATTTAATGGTATAACTGCTACTGAAACCAAGGTTTCCTGACTCTATAAGGCAGCATTACTTCACCTAATTTTAATCTGAACAACAAGCTGTAGAAATGATGTCATTGTCAGGTCAAGGCAATCTTGTCTACTTGTTTTCTTAATAGTCACTGGCACCCCTCCAACACAGCTAGGTTTTCTGTCACTGTGTCTTGCTCTTCTTGGATGGCAAAGTCTTGGGGGGAGAGTATGTGTTGCTTTTCTTTTATGTGAACACCTACTATTTTGCTCTTGGTGCAATGGCTATTTTATAATTTTTATGTTATGTTAATTTTTATGATAACATAAAATTATAAAATACATATAGTGTATTTGGAATTGGCTTTGTCAGTATCAGTGGCAATTCATATGTCCGTAGCAACTCGTTGTACAATATAACTAGAGTGAAGTGAAAAAAATTCATTAAAGAATGGCAAAGGTCAAAGCCACCATTATGACTTTAAGGTTAGAAAGGGGAAAAATAATTAGGGTTAAATTCCCATGTGATGGTGTGGTTTTAAAGCACTCAGCACAGTGTCCATGGTCCCCATCAATGGCACTGCACTTCTCAGTTTGTGATTCTACTCTATTAGTTAGCTAAAAGCAGAACCTGAGAGGGTAAAATAAGAATGGTTCCTTTTCCACCCTTCCCTCTGTTCTCCCCTTCTCTATTAGCTTTTCTCTAATGAACAGCAACACTCCCACTCCTAGCCCTAATTGGTGACACTTTGCTGGTGACAACTGGTAAATGTGGTAACATCTGTTTGAGGCCTCCTCCACTGCTGTAAGAACAGCACCTATGTTAAGATAATGATAACATTAATACTTAATTGTCCTTAAAAATGAGAGAGATGTTTCACCTGTGTTGAAACAATGTATTTTAGAAAACATCTCCTTTACTAGGGTTTAACCTCAGTTCTCTGAGTCTCTACCTCAGATGGCTACCACCACTCCCTCACTCCACCTTGGAAGTCCTCTCCTTTTTCATCAAGCAAGTCTTGCCTTTCAGTCATGAGTGCCTGTCATGGCCTAAGAAGGAGGGATGCAGAGATGATTAAGACATGGCTTAGTGCTGGGAAAACACAGCTGAACTTGCAACTCATTAGCCATTAGTAATTAGCCTTAGACTCTTATCATCCATTAGCAAAGCTGTTTGGTGCAGCTGTCACTGTCTCCTCTTTGTTTTCATTGGTGGCTCTCTCTTCCTGATTGTCATTTCCCTGCCTGG